CTGGATTGTTTTCGGGGGGGAGGGTTTCCCACTATCTCTTTTTCTTTCCCAAGACGATTCAGCATTGTGTAAGCCAGTGACCAGGACCGAGGATTTCAGGGACATTTCAGTGAAAGCGGCTGTGTGTCTGAAATAGACCCATAAAACTCCAGCGGTTAGCTCCGAGCCTAGCCATGCAGGAGAATAATGGGAGCACAAAGCATAACTGTCAAGGTGGCAAGACTCAAAACTTTTTTGAGCTTCCGTTTTGTCTTTAGTGATCCAACTGCCCTCCCTTAAGGTTGACTTTTTTTTTTTTTTTGTGTGTGTGTGTGTGTGTGTGTGTGTGTGTGTGTGACAAGGTTTCCTTATGCAGCCTAGGCTGGCCTGCACCTGCCCTTGAACTGAATCTCCTCTCTCAGCCTCCTGAGGGCAGAAAGTATAGGTTTGTGCCACCTAGCTTGACCAGGGTTGTGACATTTTTGAGGGCAAGGGATAGTCCTGGAGTTGTTCCAATACTCAGGAGGTTGAAGCAGGAGAATTATTTGAATTTAAGGTCAGCAAGTTCCAAATCAGCCAGGGCTTCATATTGAGACCCTGTCTCAGTAAAACTGAAAAGAGAAGGTTGGGGTCCTGACTAGTGGTATGGAGAACTGGGCTGTTCTTTGTAAGCCAGGTGGTTATCTAACTGTGGAGACTTGTTCTTGCTATACAAGGCAGTCATTTCTGGAGCTGTTAGTGGCTTTGGTTCATTAACCACACACAAACTGTAACCTTATAGATCCCCCTTGAATGGTGATCTCTGAATTAGCTGCTAGTGGAAAAAAATGCCTCAGAAAGCCCAGATAGTAAAACCAGGAAACCAGAATGGCTCACCTTAGTTTTGTTGTTCTTACAGTGACTCTTTTAAAGAGTTTTCATAGCCAGGTGATGATGGTGCAAGTCTTTAATCCCAGCACTCAGGAGGCAGAGGATCTCTGTAAGTTCAGGGCCAGCCTGGTCTACAGATCTAGTTCCAGGACAACTAAGGCTACTCAGAGAAACCCTTTCTGGACCTCCCGCCCCCCCCCAAAAAGTTTTCGCTTTCTTTTGAGAGTGAGTGGATCTTAACTCTTCTTTACCTTCTGATATGGGAATTAGTTTCATTGAGCACATTGCTCAGTCATTGGCAAAAAGTGGCCATAAAACAGGCCTGCATTGGAGAGAATGGAATATTACAGTATTACCCTCACATCTGGCACTTGAGAAAATAAGAGGTAGGATTTAGGCTGTGGAAGATTCAGAGTTGGACTTTGGTACCTGGGAATCACAGGCTTGATAGCAGCTTGGATACCTCAGGTGAAGACATCCTGTCAGAGGGAGTTTATAAGCACCCACAGGAGATGACGTCTGTGGCCTGATAAATCTGAAATTGTAGGACCATTCCACTCTGGGTTGAGTTTTTCTTAACTCCTTGAAAAGCAGGATCTTCCCATACCCATACATTCATTAGGTAAGTCTCTGTGTACTTAGCAGATAGACAATGTGAAAAGAACTGCCTGCCAAGAGCAAAACATTTACTTACTAAACCCATAGGACATTTCAGCATTGCAATTTTGAATCTAGTTGTTTTGAGACAGGGTCTCAGGTAGCCCAGACTGACCTTGAATCCCTGATCCTCCTACCTCTGCCTCATAAGTGCTGGGATTATAGACATGTATCACCACTCCTGACTCTAGCATCTAGTTCTAGTTCCCACCTTTGTGGAAGCTTACACAGTTGTCATATCTTTTGTCATCCCAAGAGGCTCCAGCAGCATCCGTAGCTGGTGTGTAACCACTTCACACACCAATCCAGGCCTCTAGGCCTCAGCTGAGTCAGACATAACTTTTCTCAGTTTATTTTTTTCTTTATTAGATTTTCATAAGGCATGTGTTGTATATTGAGTATATTCCTTCACTCACATACCCATACATTTTTACTCTTTCTTTTCCCATTTATCATGTGCTAGACAAGCACTCTACCAACCCACTCAAGGCTTGAGGGCATGGTAAGATCTCATCTCAAAAAAAAGAAAAAAAATAATAGGACCAATATTACAAAGCAGGACTGAGTACATGCCTTCTTGTGTGTCTTACTACATATTTCATTACAGTAAAAGAAGTAAATAGTGTGTAGCTTCTAAAGATAGAAAATACCAGTTCATAGGTTCATTCCCCACTCCCCTTTATTCGATGTTTTGTGACAAGGTCTTGCTAAGTAGCCTTGGCTGGTTCATAACTACTTATATAACCCAGGCTAGCCTTAAACTTGTAGCAGTCCTCCTGCCTCATCCTTCCAAGTGTTGTGTTTACAGGGTATGTATTAGCTCCCCTGTGCCAAATCCTCATTATTATTTATTAAACATGGACTTCAGAGCAAAACTCTTCGTTCTGCATAGTTCTGCTGTTTGGCATTTGTCAGAAATCTGTACTCACTGCAATTGGTGCAAAAGCACTGGGTCAAAGGTAGCTTATCTGTTGGGATAAGCCACAGGTACATGCCAAGCTGTGATTTCTTCATTAGCAAAGTTGGGGAAAGAATTCCTGTTCCATCAGTCTCCCAGATTAGCGCAGAAGCCTGCTTAATTTTTATTTTAATTAGTTTTATTTTTGTCATTTATTTTTTCTCATGCAGCGAATGGCCTTGAATTCCTGGTCCTTCTGCCTTTCTCTCTCACAGGTTAGGGTTTTTGTTGTTGTTGTTGTTGTTGTTTTTAATAAGGCCTTGTGTCTAAGTACAATTACTTCTGCCTCAGTCGTAA